GCCAATGGGAGCTGCTGGAAGCAGCGCGGGCCGAGGGACGTACTGGCCGCTGCTTCCAGCAGCTCTCATTGGCCTGGAGCAGCGAACCGCGGCCAATGGGAGCCGCGATCGGCTGGACCTGCGGATGGGGCAGGTAAACAAACCTGCCCGGCCTGCCAGGGGCTTTCCCTATACAAGCGGCGACCCTAGTTTGAGAAATACTGCTCTAGCTAGTGATGAGCCAAACAGTAGAATGTCTGCCTATCTAGACACAACTTGGTATCTTCAGGTACCAACTGAATCAGAAATACAGTCAGATTTCCTTAAATTTCAGCGAGGAGGCAGTGCCTCACGTAAATTTGGGAGGTCTGTCAGATGCTAGCAAGAATTCCATATATTTATATGAATTGGAACTCATACCTAGAAAACTGGCACCCAATTGCATCAGTTTAAAAAGAGATGTTGAGGTCTGCTTGAATATGTTTTAATTTTCATGCCCTCACTTTTAATCTAATTTAACTTGATTCATACATCCTGAATTTGGAGATGTCCCTTTTGAAAAATGTAGGTTGTGAAGTGGCAGAGAGCTGCTGAGGGAGCTGTAGGGGAAAAGGCTTGGTCTTGCCACATAGTGGTATTTTAGTTCTGATAGCAGCAAGGTAGAAATGTGTTTTTGTTTTGTTTTTTGTAGTGAGCAACATAAAACTTGTCAGCTCTACAACAGCCTACTGAAGATACAAAGTATGTAACTCAGGGGTCGGCAACCTTTCAGAAATGATGTGCCGAGTCTTCATTTATTCACTCTTATTTAAGGTTTCGCGTGCCAGTCATACATTTTAACATTTTTAGAAGGTCTCTTTCTATAAGTCTATAATATATAACTAAACTATTGTTGTATGTAAAGTAAATAAGGTTTATAAAATGTTTAAGAAGCTTCATTTAAAATTAAATTAAAACGCAGAGCCCCCCCAGACCGGTGGCCAGGACCCGGGAAGTGTGAGTGCCACTGAAAATCAGCTCGCGTGCCGCCTTCAGCACGCGTGCCATAGGTTGCCTACCCCTGATAAAACTACTGGTTTTCTGCTATTTAAAAAAACAGGATTATCGCTATAAACTTTATTCATACTCAAGTGGTTAAAATTTCTTTATTCCTAAGCATAAGAGTGTCACTTTACTGTGAATATTACATGTCTTATTTTTATACCTTCATAAAGGTCTAAAGGCCTTAAATGTATCCCTTTGAAATGGAAAAATCCTTATTCCAGGTAAATCATAATACTTTTGTGCATTTGTTTTTATTACATAGTTCAGGATTTTTTCTGTAATGGAAATTTTGAATGGTTTGACCACAGTGAAGTGTGATGCCAAGGATGGGTTTATAGGAAATCCAAGACACACAAGTGTGCGCTTGGTGGGTGGGGTAGAACGGTATTTGTAATACCTGGATTTTTCACCATTAAGCTCTAGGTGAATGTAAACCCTAATCTCGTTTCTTATATCGTAATTTATTGAGTGATTATTTTAATCAAACCATTGTTTTCAGCTGTTTGATTCTGTATTGTTAATTATATGCTTCACAAAAGCCCAAATGTTAATACTTTTTTAAATTGAGTTGAGTAGTCCTGGTTTACATATTTTCACAGTTTAGTGCTTGAATTTAGTGTCTTGCCGACATGCTCATTATCTAACTGATCGCCATATTTGGGGCTGGGAAGGAATTTTCCCTGAGGTCAGATTGGCAGAGACACTGGAGGGCTTTCACCTTCCTCTGCAGCATGAGGCATGGGTCACATGCTGGTATGAATGAAAGTAAAATGGTGGATTCTCTGTAACTCGAAGCCTTTACATCGCAATTGAAGACTTCAGTAAGTCAGCCAGAGGCTATGGGCCTATTTCAGAAGCGGGGTTCTGTGACCTGCAGTGTGCAGGAGCTCAGACTAGATGATTATCATGATCCCTTCTGGCTTTAAAGTCTGAGTCTATGATAATTGGGCCTTCAAAAGTATGAATGCACTTGTAGAAGCAAAGTTTCCCAACTCTTTAATGTGTGCAGTCTTACATATACTTAGGCTTGGAATGGGATAAGATTTTTATCGGTAAATATCAGTACACATCGATTTCACCGTACACACACAAACCGACAAAAAATATTTCTATCAATAATCAACATTTACAGATAGGCAAGGTAAGAAAAATGCTGCTTGAAAACTTCTTACTTTGATTTAAGGGTATCTATTCGGTATATTTTGACATGTTGTTGATAATTTGTGTTTTAATGGTTATAAACCTTTAACGTTTTGAATCTCAATGTCTGCTGTCATTAAATAATTGTCTGACCGCCCATAATTTCCTGCAACTGTGAAATTGTAAATAGATGAAAACAGCGTTTTAAAATAAACATCAGTATTCTCCATTGAAGCGATAAAAAATTGAAATTGAATTCTGCCAAGCCAACACATACTCCAGAGTTCTACAATAGCTGCCATCAATCTGTATCAGATAGTGATTTTATTCAAGGTAAATTATTTTGTTTTCAAGGTAAAGCATCTTACCTGGACGTCTGTCATTTTAATTAATCCCACTTTGTAAATCATATTAACTGTATTCCAGGATATCCTGCTGGAATTTGCCCCTATTAGTTTCTTATACGTGTTTAGCAATATAGCAGTAATGTCCAGAGTCTCCAGACAGAACACAGCCCCACTATGCTGAGTATGGCACAAACCCATTGGAAGGCAGCCCCTGCCTTGCAGAGCTTGTAATAAAATAATTGCTCAACAATGTAAGAAAGAAAAAGACTTCCCAAAAACAAAGAAAGGGTCTTTGGGGATTTGTTTTAAATATCTCACCTAGCCAGTCTCTGATGAGATTAGGAAGAAACTTTCTCTGTGGACAGGTTATTCCAGAGCTGCCTACTGGAGGGTTAGTTGCTGCTGTCTCCGAAGCAGCTGGTACTTCTGCTGTTGGAAACAGGACACTGGACCGTTGCTCTGATCCAGTGTGGCATGTCCTATGTTTTTGTGACAATCTGCTTTACTCTATGAACAAATCCCCTACCATTTTCTGAAGGCTCATTAAGTGAAATTGGAGAATTAACTTTTTACCCAGCTGCTGAACTTTTCATATTTATAAACACTTGAGGCTTTTGCTTATCTAAGAGAAAATGTGCATAGTTTGGAGATGTGCAGTTCCCTGCCAATATGTAATTATAATAGTTCTACACTTCATATAAAAAGTCCTAACGTTTCCTGTCACAAGCTGTGTGCGCCGATGCCAAGGACAAAGGTTTCTTGCCTTGCTAATCTACATCTTAATTCATGGATTTAATGTGAAGGTGCCGCATTAAAGGGGAAAAAAAGTCTTGGTGGTTTATAGAATACGAACTATATCTGTGAGCACTGTCTATTTGTTAGATTGAATTTATACTATTGAATCAATGGTCTAAGCACTTCTTGCCTGGAAAACTAAGGAAATGTGCCGCATTCCTCCCCCAGCCTCCCTGATCAACATCAGGGGGGTAGAACTTAATGAAGCAGCAGGACGATTCAGAGCAAAGAGAAACTCCATCCTAACTCATCCTGTTGTGCCTAGGTGGTGTGGCTCTTTTGGGGTGCAAGTTCCCCCAGTGTTCTGGCATCCAGATGATAGCAGACTGCACCATCTAAGCACAGTGGGGTGAATTAAATTGAGTTTCAGTTCCTCCTCTGAGTTCTCTTGATTTTTGTAGATTTGTCAGACCCTCCAATATAGGATAATTTTTTAAAAAAGTGATAGTTACTCTTGGATGAGTTTATATACACACATTCTGTACAGTGTTATCACATTCCTTCTTGGGGCTATACTGTGGCTATATGTGTCATGCAAGCAAACTTTAAGGTGCAATTAGAGCAAAGGACTGGAGGCCGGGATCTGCTGGGTTTTATCTCCAGCTCTGTCATTGTCCCATCAACTTCAGACAGTCACTTAACCTCTGCCTCAGTTTGCCCATCTCTAAAATGGGAATAAGACTTCCTGTGTCACAGAAGTGTTGAGTGTTTAATATTTTGTGACATGCACTGAGATTCTGAGATAAGTGTCTGTAAGTGTAAACCAGTATTAGTATTAAATTTCTACTTCATAGTGGCAGTACAGCAGCAAGGATAATGTAGCCTGGGTTTGATCTGAAGAGATGTGAGATTTCTCCATTCGTACTCCAATGATGCAAGATATCCCACTGCTTTTTTAACTCAAGCACAAATGTTTTCTGTTTTGTTTCTTCTAGTTCTTTGGGATGCTTCTTTCACCCTTCAGTTTCATTATGGAAAAGATTAAGCGCTTCATGCCATCCAGTCTCTGGCATCAGCTGACCCAAATTTGACAGGAATGTGTTTTGCACAGTAATGAGTCCCGATGTTCTCAGGAACCTTATCACCAGCTCCCGTTGGGCAATGGAGCACTTACCTGGCAGCTAGAGGAGCGAAAGGAAGATAAGCTGCATTACTTAAACTGTTGTCTTCCATCTTGTTAATGGTGCTTAAAGTAACCAAATCCCTTGTTTGGCCTTAGGATCTGTAATCATTTAAGAAAACATTTTTGTTGAACAATAACTTATTTGCTCCCTGAACCAGATGTACAAGTCGAGGCTGCTACTTTCTCTGTACTAAACTTCAGAACACAATAAATCAGGTAGATGTTTTCAGCGTTGGCATTTCCTCCTGAACTGCCAATAGTGATACCCTCACTAGCCAGCCTCCCTGGTTTAAGTATTCCTAAAGGACTGAGTACAGTTCTGCACTCTCTTTATTAGAAGGCCCCTTTTGTAAGTAGCTGTATTTGTCGACCCTTTAAGGGGCAGTTTAAGACAGGTTACACTAGACAGTAAGCAGCATGAGCAGTCTGCTTATGTCCTATCCCACAAGGAAACTAAGTGCAAACTTAGAAAAAGCGTCTGGATTCAGTATTCAGATCGTTCTAGGTTAAATGCTAAACATTCTGCCTTTGTTTTTGTTTTCAAAGTGAAAGGATTTAAGAATTGCCTTTTAAAGTGCCACCAAGATGCTTGAGGTACTAGTATATGAGTCATTTTGTGAGTCAGGGACTCCTAAAGATAGGTCTAAGATTCGTACTAGCATCCACTGATTCTGAGGTGTGAAAACTGAAACTTGGAGCACTCCTGAGAGGGATAGCACACTTACATAGATGTCCACTGGTCAGTAATGTAAAGAATCTCCCAAAGGAGGTAGATGGCAGCAGCATGGCTTGGGACAATTGAAATGAGATATCCAGGGGGCAAATTGCCTGTTTTGTGCTTACAGGGCTTAGGTTTCTGTTACTCCTTTGAGGAAACAAAACCACACTAACCTTGGCCTCTTGAAGTATGGCAGTCGTAAAAATGTAACAGACAAAAATGTAAAGGTATCTGCTTTTGGGTGGGGGAGGCGTCTATTCATAAAGATCAGTGTTTATCTGCATTCACTTCTGGAGTCCCAGGAAGGCTGTACAAGGCTGCTATCCTCACATTTCAACCATTTCACAGAGGTCTCGGGAGTGTGGCAACTCGCGATGCTTTTCACTGCACTCTGGGTACATAACTCGGATTGTGGTGGCCGATACAGTCCTCTCACACCCTCTTTCTTGTTACTGCCAGCCAAATGCAGAATGACTAACTTCTGTGCCCCTAATGGAGGAAGCTGCTGGGTGCTGCATATCCTCATATTACTGTCTGGCAACACATAAATCAAGATCAGACACTCGAGGTTCTTTCGATCTTTTCTTTAAGCACTTCTGTGTTCATGGTGCTCAATGGAGTCAAGGCTCCTGAGGAGATGAGGGTATTCTAATTGGTGCAAATAAAGTCCATGTTTAGCCAAACCTTTGATCCTATGGAAGCATCCCCACCCACCAGCCACTCAGTCCAGTCTCCGGTCCCAGCCAAGGAACAGGTGGGCAAGGTCAGGGTCTGAAATCTGATCCCACACAGTGGCAATGCAGTCTCAATAGGCTACATAAGGGATGTTTCCCCCACCATTCAGATTTGCCCCGTAATTCCCTCTTGATGCAGGAGAATGAGCATGGATTAGCCAAATCCTTCTTTAATTTGTCATTGAAGGACTGTGAAGCAGCCGGTCATTAGCACATCCATCCTTAAGTATCTCTTATGCCACTATTGTAGCTGAGAGACAGACACCCCCTTAGGTAGAAGCTGTGGCACAGCATTTTTATCTCCCATTGTACATTTGCATTAATGGGGCTTTTGCTGTAGGCAGTAGGTTAAATACTTGATTTCATTTAGGAGGAGTCAAGAGGGGGGATCTACAGAAAGATACTGACAAAGTTTTGGAGTTCTCCAACTACCGGTAGGTAATTTTCTCAACTTTTCCTTCCAGTTGACTATAAGCCAGTGGGGCTATCTCTCTCGCTGTGGAATCATTGCAGTGATTAATAGACATGTTGTGCTCATGTAATTTCACTTCATGGCCCACAGGGGCCCAGAAGGTAACCCACCTAATGCTTTTTAAAGTTGAACATTTTCCAGCATTTGTGTGGGGTTATAAATGAAGCACTGCCTCCCATGTATCATCCCAAGAGCTGCTTTCTCTCACTGTCCTCCCCTGACATAACAGTAACAGAAAGGGGATGGGCTTGTGCCGAAAGTAGTGCTAGCAACTTTCTCTGTCATGAAAATCTGCTTGCCTTCCAACGCTGTCAGTGATTCTTAATGAGGGAGCCGCTCTGTTTCATTTCTTAGGGGAACCACGCATGCCCTACATAGCATTCCTTTGCCATTTGTGAGCAGTGTCCCAGCACCTGATCCATACATAGCAATGCCATTTAACTGTATCCCCCAGTGATGTGCACAGGTACCTCTATAGAAGTGGGTAATGATGGCTGCTCAGGGGAGATAGAAAAATCAACTATTGTTACCATATGTTCCATTTAAGAATATTTAAGCAAAGTGCAACACAATAGCCTCAAACACACCTAGCTCCTCACGGCAGCACACACCCCATCATTTACCACCGGCGCAAACCCGCACAGCAACACAACCGGCACACGTAACAGCCACAAACATCATTCAAGCCTAGCAGTCTGAGTCAGTGAGAAGCGATGGAAACAGCTGCAAGCAGGGCGGAGAGCTCTCTTTCGAATATCGCCAGGTTTGTAGTTCACCGGGCTTTGCAGTCTGTTGCCCTCCAGTTCTTAAGTTCTCGACCATTTTTGGCTTTTTACACGTGACTTGACGAATTACCCCGTGAGACAACATAGACTTTCGGCTGCTAGCTTATCTAGAACTTTGTCATGACTGAGATTTCAAAGGAACCTACAGGAGGTAAGGTCCCAAATTCCCCTGGAAGTCAGTGGGCTAGGATACCAATTCCCTTAGGCCCATTTAACATACTCTGCCAGGGAACACAGTATCCCTGTGTGTTGTACCCTTTTTTATGCTCTTAAACTGAGGCCTGGATAAATGAATGATTCAGAGAAAGAAACCTGTTTCTGCTAGAAATTCACTCTATATCTTAGTCCCCTTTGCACAGGTCTGAGCATTTCCTGTTTCTGCAACATCTGTCAAATAAATCCTGTAATTAAAACGATTTCCACTCGCTGACCTGCTGCGACTGATGTGGCATTTTGCGGGTTGCAATATGTTTGTGTAGCAGGGTCTGTGTGAGACAACATCACTTCCCTTGGGCTTATAAACCAAAGAGGGAAGGCCGTTGGTGCCCTAGGATTCCTGGTGATTTATTTACAACACTGCAAGCCTTTTGTATAGGGGAGAGGGGACAGGTGCATGTGCCGCTGGACTTCATTGTTACCCATCAGCGTGTGTGTAGTGACACTGCTAACCAAGGCCATGGGGGCAAGCGCAGTGCAAATGTCATGTTGGCACAATGAAAGCTGTGTCCTGGCCATGGCAGTTGAGTGGAAGACGTTCCCGGGGCAGTTTTGCTGCAGCCTAATTCCCACTTACTGCGTCCAATGTATTTATTCCCCACCCCCTCAGTTTGGAATTGTTGTGAAGGTGCCAAGGCTCGTAGATCCCTGACGCTGAGCGAGGCAGGGTTCAGGGGTCGCAGGCAAAACCATTAATAACAAGGTGCAAACGGCTGGTTTATATGGAACGTGAAGCTTTTTACTTATTTCGTTTTTGCACTTTGGGGGCTCTGTCTGGTTGCTTACGGAGCACTTGGTGTCTGGTACCTATTTTGGCTGAGAGCAGGCAATTGGGTTCCTACAGGGCTTCGGAGGAATGCAGCAAATTGTTCTCTGGTGTTGTAATTCTGCAGCAGTAGCTGGAGCTTGTCTTCCAGTTATTAAATACATGCTCATCTTGAGGTCCTTTTTTTTTCTGGGAAGCAATGGGTGAAAGCCTCCAGAAATATAGACTGGAGAGGGGTCAATGGGTGGGGGGCAGTGCAGGGCCTGTCTCTCTCCTTCAGCTGGATCACAGGTCTCTAGTACCAGCAGACTGAAGAGGTTAAAACGTGAGCTAGTTCCCCAGAAGGAGGTGGATGCTCTTATCGGATTCTCACAGGCATAAATGAACTGAGCCTATCATTTCTGGGCTGGGGGAGAGGAGCAGCACTCCCCAGTTTGCTAGGATCTGGTGCTGGGGTGTGGGAGCCAAGTTGAATAACTCCCAGGATTTCAGGATAGGAATGGCTGCAGAGGCAGGGGCTTCCTCTCCCGAGGGACCAGAGGACAGTGCAGCTGCTGATGATGCAGAGAGAGACGGGGGTGAGGAAGAGGTGCAGTATAAAATCCTGCCCAGCAGCCTATGAGCAGCGCCAGCTTTCCATGTATGTTGCACTTCAAAAGAACGAACTGGCATCTCATCTGCCTTTGGACAGCTGGCGTCCACTGTTCTTTATCCAGGTTGCAGTGTAGGGTGAGCGGCCTTCGGACAAAATCGCCCCTGTACCCTCCACTCTGGGGTTATATAGACAATGGCAGCAAAAACCCACTCCCACCTCGAATCTTCTACAGTCTCACTCCACCCGGCCTCCTGCCACCCATTCCCTCTGCTTCCCTGTCCCCATTTCGCCCCTCTGGCCACCAACCAACCTCCCTCCCTCCCCTGTCAGGGCATCATGTGCGCTGCTGCCGATGGCTTTGCAGCTGGGCGTTGCTGTCTCTAGTGCTGCCCGTCTCTTTGGAGCTTTGCCTCTTCCTCGGAGCCACTTCCCCTTCAGTCTGGCCTTTTAAATCTAAGGAACCCTGTCTGAGCCAGTGCACTGAGGATGCTGTGTAACACACTGTCTCTACCATAATTCATTGTATCAATCGACTGTTTCCGTGGGGTTAATGTCTCTCTCTGTAGGGGGTCTCTTCTCTTTAGTCTTTGGCTCCTTGTTTGTTTGGTGAATTCCTGGCTCTAGCCCTGGAGCTTTGTCCAGTGATGTGTTCCTCTGCTCTTGAGAGCCTCTGAATTATGCAACCACAGCTTGGGCTCAGAAACACCCTGCTGTCTAGATTTCCCCTCTAATCCCGCTGTAGGCTATCATCAGTCATACAACGGACTCTGTGACTAGTGCGTTCTCTTGTCCTGAGTC